TGGTTCACGCCAAGTTAAGGGGGTGGCCACGACAGCACCCAAACGTAAGCGGCTAGATAGTTATATAGATAGGCTCAATGTCACCGCAGTTCGATAAGAAATGCTTCGCACTCAAAAGACAGCAGAGGCAGGGATTTTAACCAGTTTAGCATGACAAGTATCCTACCCTGTACAGAAAACAGGGGTGGAGGAAATTAAGGAGAGCAAGAAAAGCGGAGCACACACACAACGTCACCAAGCAGGGCGCCAGTTTTGTAAGATATACAGCATCATTCTGAGCCCACAGCCACTCATGCAAGTGTTTTCGGGAATCTTAATAGCGCCTTGGTTGCTTGAAGTCTCTGACTTTCAGTACGACTTTTGAGGCTAGTTAACAGCGACATTGGTATATACTGTCTAGGCCAGTGAACGCGATTGCATGTGATCGTCTCCGCACAGCATATAGACGACAGTCACAAAAGGTATACTGCACCGTCTCCTCGGTAGCGCGGACGTCGCAAAGATTCATTTATAAAATCTAACAGTCAGTCATGCCAAGGAAAGTATAGGGGATTTTATTAGAAGCAATGGTAATGTAAACGTGAAGAAATAAAAGCGGACAATAAGATAACTTGCCATGGGCATGGACGGAACCTGGGACCTTCGAATAACGCACCCAATGCTCTACCACTGAGCTACCATGGCGGCTGTCTCCATGTACACTTTATGGGCTATATATATGCATTAAACGCGGGAGCATCAGTCAGTGCCACTACTAGCCATGATGGCGAGTGCAGAATACGTTTTCTGCCTTTTTGGCATCACGTAGTACATTAACTTATTTCGAGCTGGCAGCTGACAAGTAATACCTCGCGTACTACCTGAAGGCACCGTCTCTGCCAAAACGAAACTCCTTTCAAGTACTTGGTTGTGACAGCCCACGTCACCAAACTCATTCACGTACCTGCTCAGCACGTCCCGCGCGGCTCGCAATATATGAGGTGGGACCATTGTAGGACCGACGTATTATGATCCCGCATGCACTACGTTATGTACTACGTGTTAAAAAATAATTAACACATGTCTCTCTGTATATAATTTCCTGGGACCGGCCGTAAGATGCGTTATAAGAGGAAAAACGTATATGGGAAGAACTTGTGAGCTGGGTTCTTCTATTTCGTTGTAAGTACACCTAAAGAACCCTACATGGACCAAAATGTTCCGGTGCTGGTGGCACTAAAAATTCTAATTAGTCATTTGACCCCTTTGGGCTACGTTCTAGAACTGGGTTGGTTCTTGGCGACGTGGACTGTTAGAAGGCCGTCGAAGTATTCGAAAGAAGTTGGGTTCTGGTAAATAATAAAGAAATGGTATACTTACATCAATGAATGTTTGCTATGTCTGCGGTGCCACAGAGACCTTACAGTGTGTCTTTGCGAGTGTCCTTGCTACGCTGTGCAGAGACGATCACTGGCTGGGAGCTGGGGCTTCTCCGCAACTACATGCTTCAGCCCAGTAACTCATCTGTTTCTCTACTGTCTGATCAAAGCTACAGATGCAATCGATCGACCTTAGTCAGCTGCCATTCGCCAGATGATTTGATCTTGGGGCCTCTCACTAGGGCGTGACTCACAATAATACCGTCCCGCTGGCTCGTCAAACCCGTAAATTACGTTTTTGTTATTAGCTCTTGTCGGGTCTTCGTCTGGTCACGTCCTCTGTCGATAGCCTGTGCTGTCCTGTACACAGAATATCAGTATATTACTCAAGTATTCAATAAATCATGGATATTTGCTGCGGTTAACACACGTCTGCCATAAAAAGGTCTAAGATATGTAAAACGCGACGCACTGAATTTTACGATTATTGCCACGAACAGGCTGTATTCGCACCACACACGTCACAGTTCAACACCCGCATAAATTGTCGCGCACACGGATTCGTAGGCGTTGGCCGCGTCGTTCGTCGTTTGACCTGTTTACCCAGTGCCTGCAAAAACCTGTGTCATCTCCGAAGACTGACGTCATCCGGCAGCGACTGCAGCGCTCACCTGGAGCTGTGAAAGGCAAACGAGATTGGCCAAACACATAAAGATGGCAATAACGTATCGTATGTGGTATTTCGGCGCGTTTACCTTGAAACCCCGCCCTTCCTAAACCACGTTCTTTTTCTTCTACTTTTTTATTGCTGAGAAAAGTCCCTTTGTACTGCGGTACCCTGACTGTATGCGCAGTTTCACCTTCACAGTGGCTGAGAAAGCGGAAAGTTTCACATAAAAAAACATTTGCGGCTTTTAGGTGTGAAACCACAACATGAGCTTTCTAAAGTGGAGCAGGGTCCGAAGCCATTTTATCCCCTGGTGTTCTTTGGCGTGTACCTAGCTCTAAGGATAGGAATTTTATTTTTTTCTTGTTTTTTCTCATTTCTTTTTTATTAAAATAAGGCTGACGCCTGTGGCCAGGAGAACAATAGTAATCTTAAAGAGGCTAGATGAAAGTGTACATCTTTATGGCTTGAGAAGAAAAAGAGCTAACTCTTAAAAAAATTAAATACAACAATATAGACGCGTTGCATAAAAATTTACATAGAAAGTAAAAATAATGCTGGTATTTCATTGCTTTTGAAATCTGCATTTAGCTCTCGACACAGGCACAATCATTTCGCAAGTGGTTGTTAGCGAAAACACTTACTTTCGCCTAATGAACCATTATTTGCATGTTATGCGATACATATTTCATGATGTTAGCATGTACCACAAAATTATTAGGATCCTGAAAGTCTCTAAAAGGGAATCAAAGAAAAACCTATCAATAACAACCTGGAATAAGTATTTGCCAATATGAAGACGAAGAAACCCGCCTTATGGTCTCATAATGATTCATGGCCTTTGTATCTTATGGAAGACAAACATGACAGTGAAAATTGACTATTTAAGCATCTGTTTATTCGGCGAAAACTTTATTGGAACTGCAGTGCCACTTACGTACGAAAAACAGACCAGGGTATCGAAAGTGCTGAAACAAATGAAATTTCGTGACTGCTTACTCACACTCGAGTACAGATCCACGAAAATCAGTTAAGAATATTCTTCTTCGTGAGATCCCAGCTCAACACGCAAATTAACAAGAAAGTTGCGACCGCTATTTGGAGGCATCGTTGCTCTGATAAATTTTCAGCGGATTGGTGTAGCCCGAAACATCAATGCGTTCGCACCGCTAGACCTGTAAAGGTGAGGGGCTTTAAAAGCAGAAAGAACAGACGTGTCGTAGGCGCCGGCCTTCAGGGTGTTATTTGCATACGTACATGAAATTAAGGCTTTCACGACACCTGTATGGTCGGGAATAGTCATTAATAAAAATAGGAGGACGCCGCCCACAAGGAAAAAAATATATTCACGTTTAGGTCCCCACATTGAGAGCCATGTTCCCAACCCGAAAGATTGGCCGTACGCCTGGCGTACGTCGATGAAATCAAGGCTTAAACGGACCTTCGTCTGGCCGGGGAAAATTCCTTAATTCGTCTCATTAAGTGACGTTCTCTTGTGATTGGTGCCACTGTCATTTTATTGCAATAAACGTGCAGAGAACGTAGAGGCTGGGTACCATATTAATAGACTACAAACGCAATCTTCCGGTGGCTCTAATGCTTGAGTAAACATTGCAAACCATAGTCTGATACAATTTCAAAAAAGTAACGGGTTTCTTCTTCCAAACCGCAAGCACATATGTCTGCACCAATGAGAGTGCACTCCAGACTTACGTCACGAGCCGGACGGCTGGTCGCAGTGGCGATCAGCTGACGCGCTTATGTCATCTAAGATTTCTAGACTACTGAAGTTGTATCTCATAACAGTATATCCTTCAATAAACACAATTTCGCTTTGTTCACTAGTATATAGTGTATAACTTTGGGGTGCTCGATTCTGCATATATAGCGAAAGGGAAACAGCGTGGTTTTTTCAGATGGTGCCAAAACCAATTTTTTTGCGCACGACAAAATATATATGTTGTGGGAAGAACCGTTAAAGTAAACAAGCTTTTGTAGCAGCAAGGAGCTGTCATTACTGGAGAAGCATGCGTAGTAATACCAGCAAGTTATGCTTTGCTGTATTGCCCCCTTCAATTTTTTTCTCTTTTCCCAGCTATGACGTCCAGCTCCTAATTGTACAAAGGCCCGTGGATGGGCGGAGGGGCTCGACGTTCCCATCCTGATATGGGTCTAGCCAGGAGTTGGGTGTATAAGCGCCTCATACTCTTTCTTCCGGACCAAGTAAATGTCTTTTCTCTTTCTGTCCTTTCATGGCTACAGAGTTTAAATTGAAACACGATGCTTGTCCCTGTCGTTCCCTTTGCTTTTCTCTTCGAACTAAGAACACGCGCTGTTTTCTTTTTGAATGTCCAATTGTCATCCAGTTATGGCACGTCGCGCAGCTGCTGCCGAGAGATTGTGCGACGTGAGCAAGTTCCTATATACATAGCTTCTTAATAGCCCACTGGAGAGACAGCTGGCGCATGTGTTTATAAAAGCAGCAACACATACTGCTTCGAACAGCCTGAGGATTGTGGGTAACAAATGAATTTCTCTAAGCTTTGCTCTTTCAGTTCCGCTTGGCTGAGTGTGACCTGCAGCAGCTTTGTCACAAGCTGAAGTCCGAACAATTGTTCAGCAAGTACACTTCACCACCTTAACATTTTGAGGCAGACCAATTGAAATCGACTCATGGAGTTCACAATGATCTATTTTTTTATCTGGAACAAAAGTAAAAATAACTGAACAACAAAGAAAGACACCAGTGCGTTTGATTACGCAACTACGAACATTAGACAAATCCTTGTAGTACCCGTAATTACCAAGGTGGCTGAACGATCGCAGCCCCAGTTTCCTCTAGTAAACATTGTGGAAAACTATGCTGACATCTTCTGATATAATAGTGATATACACATTAAACCATGAAGCAGTTTGTAAGGGTGCCAGTCCGTTTATACAGTGTTCATATAGTGAAAGACAGTTGTGAGACATACCAGCGTCTTGTCGAGGGCCTCCCTGACGTAACCGATGTCGAGGGCGATCTCGTTGCGAGCGTTGACGAAGTCCTCAAACGCCCGGTGGCACTCCCGCTCGAGGAACTTGCAGTAGGCAAGCGCGAGGTCCTGCTTGGGCAGCTGCACGATGAGCTGCCGGTCTCGGTACTTCTCGCCCGGACTGCCCAGCCGCGGCACCTTGTGGTTCGGCAGCTGGGCGAAGTACTCCTCGATCTGCGAAGAGGAAAGCGGTGAAGTTCAGAACAGTGGCAGCGACATTGGCGGACGCCGAGCGCAGCAAACCTCACTCCCCCGTCGCGGCCACACATACACACGGCATTCCCGCCCGCCATCCGCTTTTGCCCTCTATGAGGAAATATAGCTGAAGGTGTACTCACAGAAAATTTTATGCTCAGGATAGCCTGCGGGGTCGATTGCCGTAAACATGCGTATATTATATGCAAAACATCAACAGCGAATATAGCTTGGAAGGAATTTCAAATTAATTTTGAAGTTGGCGCGAGTGATCGACTCCCTCGCGCTATTGACACCCGCAAAGGGCACCCTTGGGGACCCACTGCACATGGTACGGTCGCTTGGTCAAAGGGGTGGCGATCACGGGGTCCGTGCAAAAACACGTTACGTTCAAGCAGCTTTCAAAAGTGGGGGAGGGGAAGCATGGGGGAAAGAAAGAGAAAGGAGGGAGCATGACGTCACACTGGCAGCCGTGCAGGCAAACCGATTTGAAGCCAGCACTGTCGGTCCAACACGTGACCTTTCACGCAGGATCACGCCAGCAACGAGACTTGCCCATACTTCGGAGCATATGGCGCCCCGTAGCTTTTAATCGACACGCGTTTATTTCGGCGCCAACCAGCCGGCTCACGCAGGAGGTTCAAAAACGGAAGACCATCGAGAGTACTAAAACCTACCACACGCTGTGACGTTTTCATCACGTGTTGGGCAGACATGGCGGGCTTCACTCGTGCGAGGTAATGTTCCCCCATCTCCTTTTTTTTTCCCATGTATGAATACATCGACTGAGAAGAAAGACAAGTCTGCTTTCACCTTGAAGTCGTCTTAGCGGAATGCTTAAGGGACCCTGCTCAGTTTGTTCTTTCTTGACTATTCGCTTCATCAAACTCTTCTCTCGACCTACAATAACGTACAATAATTGTCGTATAAGTGAATTTTTTCTGTGGTCTTATTTTTTATTTTTTCCATTTGTTTCACAGTCATTAAAAAGTAAATACTTCTCGCCCCTTTCTATAGTTCTGTTTATACGTAGGCTATATTCGTTTCGAGGAATATTCTATATTCGACATTTCTTGAGCCTCCTCTTTTATTATGTCACTCGCTACTGTTCTGCTAATCTGTAACATGTATGAACTTTCGTAGCATTCTCTAAAAGAAAGTTACCTTTAGTATTAACCTAATAGAAGCAGCTAAGAGTCTAGCTCAATCCAGTGCGCGACGTGACCACCCTTTCTGCGCATGCACGTCCACTCCCCTTCTCTCTCCTCTCCAACGCTTCTCCTTCTCTCACGTCGCAACGCCGTCGCAGGCAGCCTCTGCTAGCAAGTTTCTTGATTGAAAAAAACAACTGCTCCAATCTTTCGGTCCACCCGTACCCCATAGCAGTGGGAAGGCAACCTTCGAGACGGTGCTCCCGAGGTCGGCCGGGCTGTTGCAGAGGTTACCATAGGAGTCCTGGAATAGGGACCCTCCCCGTTTTCCTTGGTTTTCATAATAAAATGTTTTCATCATCATCATCAGCAGCACTACCGGTCACAGGCCACCCCATGCATATAGGCAATGGATCTTGACCACCGAGGTAGTGACGATGGGAGATTTCGCCTGTGCTTTAATTGTTGAACAATAAAAATTCGCAGCGTGCGCGTTAACTAAAAGCGAACTGCGGGTCTCTGTGTCCTATAGGGGTCTTCTCTCTTTCACTCCCCATTAGCAGCGATTATAACATGACCCAGTAGGAAACACTGGTCTATCACTGCGTGCTTTGTGCCTCCTCAAGTGCCTCTCGTACACAACGCCGCGATGAGTGACAGCGTCAACGTCACCGCAAGTGTAAGCGTTAGCGGCCACTGCCACGCATGTGCACAGTTTTTCTCCCTACCGTGTACCTTAGGAACACGGCGTGGTTTCATACTTTAAGTTCGACCGCCTGTTGTGTTTTCTTCTAAAGAAAACACAGGCGTTGTGCTCAGCTTAGTGTCGTCCTGCTTAATCCTTGTTTCCTCTTAATAACTTGTTCGTGTTTACGTCCATATAGCTCCACATAAATGTGTAACCGTGATGGCAATATAATGCAGTAAACAGATGATAATGATGACAGATAGTAAAATAAAGATGACAGATAATAATGAACTTGAATCAATGCGTGTGATGTAGTTTCACGGTATTTATTGGCAAACGAGGCAGATTGAAGTAGAAGGAGCGGGAAAGAAAAGCTTCACGGGCAAACTTTACATTAAATTATTACTGAATGAAGAATTAATTTTATATAGTATTAAGTAGGGTTTACTTCCCAAAAGGACCATATGATTATTAGAGACGCCATAGTAGAGGGCTCAGGAAATATATTTAACGTGCACTCGAAACTGAGCACACGGGCTTACAGAATGTTCGGCTTCATCGAAAATGCAGCCTCCGCAGCCGGGATTTGATGAATGTGGAATGAAGTCACCGCTGTTGTTACAACAGTGGATGGCACAACATGTGCCAACACTTAGCTGTAATGAACAGGAAGCAGCCAACATAGGCATTATTTTCCCAACATCGGCCAGCACTATGCACTAATCGCTAATACGGTGATATTAGCCAAGGTCAACCAAGTTGTCGTCAATGATGGCTTACTGTTTACCACTTTGTCAGGCTGTGGCTACAATTTGTCCAACAAGTACTGAACATATGCATCGCTCGAAAATCCTGTAGCTATTACCAGCCAGTAGTGACCGGCAGTATAGCCGATATCCGCTGGTGCGCGAGCACATACCGTAAATTAATTCGGCACCACAAGTATCTTCGTCGTCGAAAGTGCGTAGTAGAGACCAGACAGGCGGCGTACTAGAAATTAATTACCGCAAATTAACCGGATCTACACGGTGCAAATAGGTGATGAATGTTTGGTTGCGGATTCTTTGTTAGTGGCGGGCCCTAAATTTAGCCCTCAAGAAGAGAGAGAGAAAAGGAAGGCCGGGGGTATAACCAGATATTCGCACCCGGTTTCCTACTCAGCACTGGTGGTGGGGAAATAGGGCCAAGAAAGAGGGCGTATAGAGACTACTGGAGAGGGAAAGAACTGAGTGTTTCTTGTTTTTTTTTTAGCCCTCAGTAATAGTCAAACGCAACACACGGGCCTGACTGCTCTGAAGTTAAACGCGCAGCAATATGCGGTTGCGCCTACCTTTGCGCTAGAGAGTCCCGGCGGCACCCAGGAGTATCCTTCTTGCAGCGTCTTCTCCTTGGAAGTGTGCTGCGAAGGGTCGGACGCCTTGATGCCGATGCGGTCGCGCACGTTGACGAACTCTTCGTGATACACATCGTGCGATTCTCGTGGGCACTTGCAGTTGTTGCACACTTTCCTGCACGACAAAGAAAGCAAAAAACATTAATGGTCATGCCCAAGTGACGGCAGCTATCACGATGACACGCTATATATATGCCTCGCCGACGCGAGAGTATCAGAGTTGAGTCGTGCTTCTACAAAATCACTATACATTTTCTCTTATTCTTACTCTTAATCGCTGGTGCAAATAGTTTCGCAATGAAGTGACTGATCATTTATATAATCGCTCGATCATTTAGATCGTTGTAAACGTCAGCTTTTTTTTCAGTATACTTACGATAGGTTTTTTTTTTTAATTTACCTTCGCCCTAAAGTGATTTTCAGCTAAACTGCTTAGGCGTACGGACATACGCACTCTGAGTACTACGTAATGCATTGTCAGTGCCCACACTATAGTGAAAAGCTTTAATTTGCAATGCGTGAACTTAGATTCACAACGTGTTGAATTATACAGCACATAATAAAGGAGTAAGCAACCACGCGTGATAAATCGAGACCAACTATAGCCCGCCTTTTCGTTCTTTTAAGGTTAGATGTACCACCCGATTTGTACCTTATCAGACAGCGGTTCAAGTACTACGCCACTAACAAAATAACTATGACACCCTAATTTTCTTTTATTATCACCGTAAAACGCTAATTTCCCTGCTTTACGTGTCAAATCGCAACATGACAACAACAAAAAAAACACACGATGTAATAAAGGGACCACTTCTTGATCATTGCTTACAACACAAGGTTAACTAATTGTTAACGAAATCTAAGAACAGTTGTGCATCACTAACCATGCATTACGAATACCTTACACAAAAAGCTTTTTTTTTTTCGAAGAATTCACGTGAATTTTTTTGGCACGCACTTGCTGATCTTCCCATTCGAGACCATTTTCGCTTTTCGTTCAGAGCATACGCTGTGTCAAGGACGCGCAAGACTGAACAGGAGACAAAGCTTTTGCCATTATGAAAGACGGAACTGCTGCACGCCTTTATTCCGCGAGGGTCCATCAGCTTCAAGAGGCCAGGAAGTGTGCCAACGTGGCTATAACCTGCGCTGCCACTGGCCTTCGCGCGTAAGGATGCTCGGCTTTCGAGTGCGAGATTAGAGGACTGACTACTGCCGAGTTGCACCGTAGAGTGCGGTCACGGCCGTCATTACTACGCAGCTGACTGAGTGCTGCGTCCTCGTGTTGGCCGCTTTACATCGCCACCTTGTGAGCGCCCTATTAAATCCTACTTAGGCCATACGTGCAGTGCGTTTATAACACTACCACAGAAGACCGAGCTGTACCTCAGCACGACATAACGGAACGGCGGTGCAACCACACACGGCCAGAGGAAAGAAGGTACACGAAGGTCATTTTTGTGTTTCGCGAGACTTCTTTCTTCTGTCCCTGTGTGTGGTCTCGCTGCTGTTACATCATGAAGTACGACCAACTAGCCCTTCAGTCTCAGAATGGCACCTCGAAAGTACGCATTACGAACTATATTTTATTTGTAGAGAGCCCAAATAATTCCACTATGTCGGTGGTGGTTGGTTTTAAACTTCTCACAATAATTGTTAGCTCAGAATGTTTCTTCGTTGGGCTGGTCCAAAGCCGGCGATTTCTGCGCAGGCGCGAGTGGCAGCAGGTTGGCGAGGCTGGTGATAGAGGTTACGCGTGGCGGCGGTGACGTCAAGTTCATCAGGAATAATGGCGATGGAATATTTTCGGGCTATCTTGTGTCAAAACACGGTATGGTTGTGAGGAACGCTGAAGTCGCGCGGCTCCGATATGGTTTTGACCACCTGAGATTTTTCAACGTCCACCTGAATATAAGCAGACGGGTGTTGTAGCATCGGGAGTCATCTCAGTGTTTGGGCGTAATGTCCCTAGATAAAACATTTGGGCGTGCTTACAAGCGCCATCTGTGAGGCCCGACCCACACAACGGACGGCCTCGAACATGCCTTACGGTAGCTATGCGCTGGATGGTATGCGAAGAGAGTGACGCTCATGAGCTCAGGTCTCATGTGGCACCGGCTTCAAGTATCCAGGAGGCACGTGATCTACGCGGGGGCACTGGACGCTCGACTCGCATCGCAGTACGACGCACATAGGGCGTTGCCCAGTCATGCAGCGTTAGAGCCTTGAAAAAAAAAAAAACAGTTTTATTTATTATTCCACCCCACAGCGCATCACGTGTTATTGCGTTTCGCTCAAATCGAATTGTGGCCACTGTGGCCGGGAGCCGAACCCGAGTTCTCCCAATTAGTGGCGCTCAGCCATTGCCACGGCTACTTAAGAAAATTCATATTACAAAAGTGTGTTCGAAGCTGTCAAGTGAAGCAAAGACTGTGGGCAGTTTCGACCAAAGAACAAAGCACAAAAATCTATGTGAAATCATTCTATGAGACTTGTAGGGTTGGATGCCTACTAATTTCGACTAGCGAAATTAGCACTGTCCGAGTGTCAAAATGGTACAATCGGTCATTCACAGTTAAACGCTAATCCTTAGTCTGATATCCCACGTATACTTGTGCACAACTTGCAGAAAATTACGCCATATGCTCATGATGCCGCTGACATGGCATTTATAGAGAACAACTTTATCAAATCGCGCTTCATCATCTACGGTCGACCATATATGGTGTCTTGGTCTAATTCAAATCATCGCTTACGTAATACTGCCAAAACATTCGAGCACGGCCGTCTACATTGACTTTGCCATAGAAGTATTACAACTCATTAGGTCATTCATCCGTACAGAAGCATGCTTCATCTCACAAACGATCGATAGCAAACAGAAGTCTTCGCCTGAGGCATTTAGTACCAGCTTTTCTTATTCTTATACACCGCATTCTACTCATGCACGACTGGCCACGCTCTATTACCTATTACAAAATGTCATATTTTACTTGGATTAAGTCAGCGTCACACAATCGTTGACGTCACTTTCGTTCTTAAATATTACGTTCCCTAGTTTGTGGCCTCGGGTTGGCACCTATCTCGGCTTGGTGCCATACGAATGTAATTATCATTACAGGCTTCATTGTAATCGTCATCGTTGTGTCTGGCGTCTGTCGTCTTGATTCAACATCAATTATGCAAAGAAAAATAAGGAAGAAAGAGTAATGTATTGAACGTGCATAAGAGCGTAATCTTACAACAGTATGATACATGGCTATATGGTGAATGGGCATCTGGTGATAAATGGGTATCTAGTACCTATGATAAATAGCCATCTGCTGCATCAGCACCGTAGTATATATGGGGGTAGACGCACAAAAATATGAGACCAGTATACTATTATATTCAACAACGTTGCTGAGATTACTGAAGATGACAATGCAGTTCCAGTTTGTTCTGCCGTGAGAGGTGACCATGCATGACGTCTTCGCGATGACGTAAATGTTTTCTGATCATGCCTGCACAGTATTATAAGTAAACCAAGCTTAATTCTTCATACTTCAGTTTTGTTTGTGATTTGCCATTCTACGAAACAAGGCGTATTAACTCGAAACACTGACATGCAGTTATTTTGGAAGCTTAAGGGGCGAAGCTTCTTATAGCGGCACCCATTCGTCCCTCATATTCGTTGCAGTAGCGTGTAACAAGTATAGCATTTTGACTTCCAAGGTGGTGGCGGTGAGAGATTTCTTCTGTGCGTTGTTGAACAATAAAAGATAGTGCTCAGTGTACATGCCAATGGCTGCTAAGGGGGAATGAGAGACAGGAGAATTTGGCTTTTAGTTAACGCGCACGCTGCGAATTTTTTATTGTTGAACAACGCACAGAAGACAAGAAAGGGTTGCTACGTTATACTCGCTGGGCGTAACCTCATAGGTTTTAAAAAGGTTTAGCGAGCGTTGATCCGCAGTGTCATGAATACAGTGAACTAGTGTATACCATGAACTCGAGGTGGTTGAAGGTGGGAAGTAGGCACGAAGCGCAAACCGTAAGAAAGTGTGTGTGTGCCACCTCTCGTTTAGTCCTTGGAATGTCCGCTGGATGGCGGTGCTTCTATATGCGGGATTAATGATGAAAAGATGCGAGATGGTATTACTTGGAGTGCTTACTTGATGGACGAACGGACACACAGACAGACGCAAGGACGGACGCATGGATGTCTGCACGGACGGATGGACGCATGGGCAGACGCAGGAGCGGATGCATAAACGAACGCAGGGACGGACGCACAGATCGACGTGCAGACGCACGAACAGACGCACGCACGGAGGGGCGGATGGACGCACGGGCGGCCACACAGACGCACGCATGGATGGACGGAAACAAGAACGAATGAATGGACGGATGCTTCGCCCCACTATCCATCATTCACTCCGTGGATATGCTGCCATTTTTTTACTTCAAATACTTTGCCGCTATTCGCCTGGGGTGACCCCCAACAATTGTTGGAAATAAACGCTGCATTTCTTTCTTGAAGTGATATTAGCAATACGTGTAGCTTCAAAATGCGTGACCTGACTAGTCGGTTATCCGTAATACAAAAGCAGCGTGCCAGACTTACAATGCTTCTTTGTGTCCATCCCCTATTTGAGTCATTCATGCGTCAGTGCTCTCTTTTTAATGGACACTCAAATTAAGGCCACCTTCTTTAGGCCTCGTTAACTGAAGTCGCTTTGACAGCTACCTATCACACGGCATTTCCAATATTGCTCTGTCATCGCACAGCCAACGTTGCAGTACCTGCTTTGCTGTGATACGTTTATTTACTCATCCTAATCCCATCTCCCTGTTGGGCATGTACGTAACTGTAAACAACCTACATTAGTGCACCTTAATTAACTGTCACGCATTAAACTTGTCCCAATAACAACCCACAAACAGAATATTCAATTTCATCTCTGTTTTCATTGTCTAACGCGTGTACAATCCAACTGGCCTGCTTTTTGCGCCTTGCTTTTCTGCTTGTTTGTCTCGTCTCGGTCTTTCTTGAGACTCTCTGCATCACTGTACCGAACACCTTTCATAGTATGTTCTTAGGACAACAACAGCCCTAGACCTCGAAACCTCGTT